GAGATCCAAGTGTTGTGATTCATCCGAGTTTCGAAACCGTTGCGAAAGAAGCAGAGGTTAAGCAAGTAGCAGCTGGATGGCCAGCTTGGTTAGTCTCAGTGGCTGGTGAAGCACTTGTGGATTGGACTCCAAGACGAGCTAGTACCTTTGAGAAATTGGAGAAAGTAAGTAAAGCTGTTTTTTTTTTTTTGTTGTTGATTGTTGATCCGGTATGATTCGATGAATGTGCTTAATGAATGGTTCTTGTGTGTGGATGCAGATTGGTCAAGGTACATATAGCAGTGTGTACAGGGCTCGTGATCTTGTTAATAACAAGATTGTTGCGTTGAAAAGAGTCCGGTTTGATCTTAGTGATTTGGAGAGTGTTAAGTTTATGGCGAGAGAGATTATAGTAATGCGAAGGCTTGATCATCCTAATGTACTTAAATTAGAAGGCTTGATCACTGCCTCTGTTTCATCTTCTCTTTACTTGGTTTTCGAGTATATGGATCATGATCTTGTCGGACTTGCTTCAATACCCGGTATCAAGTTTTCAGAGCCTCAGGTACGTATCACCGCGCTCTTTACTATCCTTTTTTTCTTTAGTTTATCGACTTGTGTTAGATCATATCACATTTTCTTTTTACTTGTTCTTCTGCTGCTTAGGTTAAATGTTACATGCAACAACTTCTAAGTGGGCTTCATCATTGTCACAGTCGCGGTATTCTACATCGTGATATAAAGGGCTCAAATCTACTGATCGACAGTAATGGAGTCTTGAAGATTGCAGATTTCGGATTAGCAACGTTTTTCGACCCAGAGAACTGCGTTCCATTGACTAGCCGCGTTGTGACTCTTTGGTATCGTCCCCCAGAGCTTCTGCTTGGAGCTTGTCATTATGGTGTTGGGGTTGATTTGTGGAGCACAGGTTGTATATTAGGCGAGTTATATGCCGGGAAACCCATCCTGCCAGGAAAAACCGAGGTATATACACTCTTGTAATCATCGAAAACTCATCTTCCCGTAAACTAAAAATGCGACTTCTAATAATAGTATTTGATGTTTTTCTAGGTAGAACAACTGCATAAAATTTTCAAGATATGTGGTTCACCAACCGAAGATTACTGGAGGAAACTTAAGCTACCACCTTCAGCTGCGTTTAGACCCGCGCTTCCATATGGACGACGTGTAGCAGAGATGTTTAAGGACTTGCCGGTGAATGTTCTTTCGCTTTTGGAGACTTTACTCTCCATAGATCCTGATCAGAGAGGCTCTGCAGCTAGAGCTCTAGAGAGTGAGGTGC